GACTCAGAAAGCATAAATAAGGATTCTAGTGATAAATTCAGGGAACGTATTTTGGCTTCGATTTAAGATATCCAGTTGGAATTAACAGATTCAGAAAGTAGTTGGTACGTATAACTGAAGGGGTCAGAGTTGAAATGGAGCCGTAACCAAAATTTAATAATTTAATAATAAATGTAATATTTAATTTATTATTATTATTATTCATTTTATTTTTATTATTTATATTTAAAAATTAATAATAAAAATTAATAAAATAAATGCCTTTTTAGCCAACAAATTCTGATCGCACTCCAAACATAAAGCGGCGTATGGAACTTTCGCAAGAAGGTAGAATGGACACGTTCCACTGAAATGTCCATTGTGTCAATCCAGAGAAGTACCCCATACAGTAATTGAGCTGCAGTTTTAGCCTGCAGGACTTAACGGAGTTCTGCAGGGCCCATAAAAGGAAGATATTCCACCAGGCCTATGGTTGAGGCTGTATTGGCTTCCCCCTGCTCAGCTTGTTTCCATCTTGCATTGATTTCGTCTGCCCATCCCCCATCACCTTTAGTTGCATCCACCTGCACACATAAATTCATTCACAAGATGAAGCAGATCTATTCTCTCTTGCTCCAGATTGCAAGACTAGATCTAATGGGTGGAGATTACAAGGGAGTCGTTGCCGGCTAAATATCAGGAGAAACTTCCTAACTGTAAGAGTGGTTGAGCAGTGGAACAGTCTGCCTCGGGTGGTGGTGGAGGCGCCTTCGCTGGACGTTTTCAAGCAGAGGCTGGACGATCATCTTTCGGGTATGTTGTAGGTATGTAGGGCTATCTTTCAGCTATGCTCTTGCAGAGTGCCGGGGGTTGGACTAGATGACCTTTAAGGTCCCTTCCAACTCTAACATTCTATGATTCTATCTCAAATTCATAGAAAATGAGAGTCAAGTTGGCATTTTCAAACCAGCTCAGCTTATTCAGGCTCACTATGCAGCAAGCTCAGGCTGCAGGTGCTAAGGCTAGGGCACAGGGTCAACTCCTCAGGTGTTTGATGCGGCTCCGTGACTGAAGGCCTGGTGGAAGAGCTCCGTCTTGCAGGCTCTGTGAAACTGTAAAAGGTCCTGCCGGGCTCTGATCTCTTCCGGGAGTGCATTCCGCCAGTACGGAGCCACCACTGAAAAGGCCCTGGCCCTGGTTATAGCCAGCCTGACATCTTTAGGGCCCGGAAGGGCCAGTTGATTTTGGGACCCTGAACGCAGTGCTCTCTAGGGAACATGTGCGGAAAGGCGGTCCCTTAGGTATGCCGGACCCTGACCATAAAGGGCTTTAAAGGTAAGAACCAGCACCTTGAAGCCAAGGGAGCCAATGATAGTAGTTTATTAGTATAAATTGAGATATTGATTTTAAACTGTTTATTATGTGAGCCAGTTTGGTGTAGTGGCTAGGTGCGTGGACTCAAATCTAGGAGAACCAGGTTTGATTCCCCACTCCTCCGCATGCAGCTGCTGGGTGACCTTGGGTCAGCCACAGTTCTGGCAGAGCTGTTCTCTCAAGGGCAGTCCTCGAAAGAGCTCTCTCAGCCCCACCGACCTCACAGGGTGTCTGTTGTGGGGAGGGGGGAGGGAAAGGAGACTGTAAGCTGCTCGGAGACTCTGAGTGAAGGGCGGGGTATAAACCCAATCTCTTCTTCTCTCAATGTTTTTATTGGTTGTTGGATTATGCTGTTCACACACTATTGTAATCTGCCCTGAGCCTCCTGGTGGTGGAGGCCGGGCTAGAAGCCAAATAAAATAAATAAATAAAAAAGGAGAGTGAATAAAACAAACACTGTGGTGGCAGCTACCTCTGAAAACACCTTATTCTGCCCAGCCAATCAGATCTCTAGCAGCCAGTCAGAAGCCTTGCTGGCCGGTACCCCACCTGCCCCCACTCATGTTTTGAAAACATTTGGTGGGCGCCAGGAAAGGTGACAGTAGGCATCGATGGCGCCCACGGGAACCGGGTTGGGGGACCCTTGCTGTAGCCACTATTTCACACTGGCTCTTAGTCTGTTCCAGTGAAAATGGACAAGAGTCGCGTGGCACCTTCAAGGCGATAAGACGGTGGCATGAACGCTCACAGGTTAAGGCCTGGGGTCAGTTCTTTGGCTCGGGTACCCGAGGGCTGCTTTGGGCAGTCGGGTGAGGAAGGTGCTGGCACAGCACAGGGGTCAGTTCAGTGTCCCGGCCATCGGTGATGCAGGAGGCAATGGGTATTCCTCCCGAACCCATGACGCAGTGGTCTGACTCAGACCCAGCTCTGGCAGTGTGGGAAGAGGCGGCGGGAACACCTTGCACAGGCTGAAAAGGAAACTTTGAACCCGCTTTGCCAAAGTCCGCTTTGTCAGGTGACAAGAATGTGGCTTTGAAAGCAACGCTGGAGGCGGGAGGCGAAACTGTTATTTGGAGTGTGTGTGTGGGGGGGAAGGGGTTAGATCCGACCAGAGGATCAAGAAGAGATTGGATTTATACCCCGCCCTCCACTACCCAAAGGAGTCTCAGAGCGGCTTACCAACTCCCTTTCCCTTCCCCTCCCCACAACCGACACCCTGTGAGGTAGGTGGGGCCGAGAGAGCTCTGACAGAAACGGTTCTTTTTCAAGGACAGCAGTGCCAGAACTACGGCTTGCCCAAGGTCATCCAGCCAGGTGCAAGTGGAGGAGTGGGGAATCAAACCCAGCTCTCCCAGATTAGAGTCCGCACACTTAACCACTAGACCAAACTGGCTCTCGAGGGCAAAGAGGGAGGACAGGTCTGTTTGGATCGCTGAAAGGGGTACACAGGAGGTCGTGAGCCCAAATGGACCAAATCTACCTGGAAGAGGGTTGAAGTGAGAAGAAAAACTGGGCAAGACTGAGTGGGGAAACTGCTTGGATCCAGCCCTACGATTTCAGTGTGATGAGACCCTTCCGAATGATTCCACGCAGGAGGAGGGCTGGGGTTCTTTAAAGCGAGTCCAGATGCTAGATCACAGTCCGCCTTATGAGCTTTCAGGTCAGGTCAGTGCTGGAGGTTAAAACTAGGGCAATGCGAAATGTCCCAGCCAGGGCTCCCTCTAAGCTGCGGAGTCTTGTGAGCAAAAGTTCCACGTTGTGAGCTACTGGCATTAGAGTGGTGAGCGAGCGATTCGACTGCTGCAGAAATTCGTCTGCTCTGGGGCAGTGTTCCCCCTAAGCTGAGTTAGTGTGAGCCAGCTCACAGTTTTTTTCAGCCTCCGGCTCACACATTTTTGTCTTAGCACAGGAGGGATGGGGCTCCAGAGCAGTGTTCCCTCTAAGCTGAGTTAGTGTGAGCCAGCTCATAGTTTTTTTTAGCCTCCGGCTCACACATTTTTGTCTTAGCACAGGAGGGATGGGGCTCCAGAGCAGTGTTCCCTCTAAGCTGAGTTAGTGTGAGCCAGCTCACAGTTTTTTTCAGCCTCCGGCTCACACATTTTTGTCTTAGCACAGGAGGGAGGTGGCTCCAGAGCCGTGTTCCCTCTAAGCTGAGTTAGTGTGAGCCAGCTCACAGTTTTTTTCAGCCTCCGGCTCACACATTTTTGTCTTAGCACAGGAGGGAGGTGGCTCCAGAGCCGTGTTCCCTCTAAGCTGAGTTAGTGTGAGCCAGCTCACAGTTTTTTTTAGCCTCTGGCTCACAGATTTTTGTTTTTGCTCAGGAAGGAGGGCTCCAGAGCAAACCAATTTATGCAGCAGCCAAATTGCACACTCACAACTTTAATGCCAGTAGCTCACAGAGTAGAACTTTTGCTCACAAGGCTCCACAGCTTAGAGGGAGCCATCCCTCCTGAGCGAAGACATAAATGTGTCAGCCAGAGGCTAAAAAGCTATGAGCTAACTCACACTAACTCAGCTTAGAGGGAACACTGGTCCATATGGCCTTCAGAAAAGAGCTGTGCAAAGCACTGTCCCTTTGCTGTGGCTGCGTCATTCCCTGCTTAACCGGCTGTGGTGGGTGTGCACAGCATTTTGTACGTGCTCAGAAGCTCCATTTTCGATGTGCACCAAACAAGAGAGCTTCACCTGTTTGTACTACTAAGCTATTGTCCTTTTTATACAGGAGCTCTCCAGTAGCCAATTGCTTGTGACATCCACACTGCAATTGAATTTTGGCACGGGGAAACAGGCTTTCGGGCACCGCCCTGGCCCCAAACAGTTAAACTCTGGAAGCCGGTTTTATTTGGAGGAAAAAGATATGTAAGGAATAAATCATGTGGCAAGCAGCGAGATCGTCCAGGGATCTAAAGCAAACACGGTGCCCTTGCCAGGATGAAACAGACTCTGTTAGGAAACAGATGGCTACATATCTGTGAACCTATGTATGCAGCAGACACAAAAGGTACGCTCTGAGCACCGGGTCACCCAGCATATGGGCTGGTGTGTTCTATGGACAAATGTCCCAACATTTCCACTCAACCAGCAAAAAGAGAGAGGGGGGTGGGGGGGGGGAATTCCAAAACAGCTACTTTGTGGCACGATCCGGTCACACTTAGGTACTTCTAGCGACTTCAAGGGAAGAGACTGGAGTGCTGAACTGTCCCATTGAAAACAGTGGGAGTGAAAAGTGCTTAATTTTGAGAAGAACCCTAAACAGGGCTACTCGGAATCCTATGATGTTCCTTGATCAGGAACTCCAACTTTTCATACACAGACGGAAATTTCTTTCTTTCTTTCTTTCTTTCTTTCTTTCTTTCTTTCTTTCTTTCTTTCTTTCTTTCTTTCTTTCTTTCTTTCTTTCTTTCTCCCACAATAACTAAAAACAGGAAGCGAGAAAGAAAATCTAAAATCAGTCTAAACTCATTACAACATGCACTCGCACACAAATATATAAGTGGCACATGCACGTCTCACAACGCAAGAAACTTTTCCAACGGAGAATTTGGGAGGTGGAGTCCGTGGAGGGTGGGGTTTGGGGAGGAACCTCGGCTGACTATAATGCCACAGAGTCCACCTTCCCAAGCACATTTCCTCCAAGGGCACGGATCTCTTCGTCCTGACCACCAGCTGCAATTCCGGGAGATCTCCAGGCACCTCCTGGAGGCTCACCCCAAAGCACAGAGACCACCGCCTGGGTCCTCCTCCCTCAAGCCAGAGCCTGACCACAGCTGGGTGGGGGGAGTGAAAATCCTTCCCTCTTACCCCCCTGCTCCTGCCTCCAGCGCCGTCTGTCCTCTCCGTCTGTCCTCTTCCTCCCCTTCCCCGTTAGCCGGAGGGTGGACTTCGCACCCCCACCCCTTGACGTCGCCGGAGGGGGGCTGCCTCCGCTCGTACCTGCTCTGCCCGACGAACAGACGCGCCTTAGACGGCTCCGGGTGGCAGCTGGGTCGCGCCGCGCTCTTGCCTCCCCTCCACGTGCGCCTCCTCGCCGCCATGTCTCTCCTGCTGGAGGCCGTCGGCTTCTTCCTGGCCACCGTCGGCTGGGCGCTGCTAGCCGTGACCCTCTTCAACAGCTACTGGAGGGTCTCCACCGTCTCGGGCAACGTCATCACCACCTCCACCCTCTTCGAGAACTTGTGGCAGAGCTGCGCCACCGACTCCACCGGCGTCTACAACTGCTGGGAGTTCCAGTCCTTGCTGGAGTTGCCAGGTGAGCCCCCTCCCCCCCCAAAATGCCTTCGGATCCCCGCCCCACGTAAGGCAGAGAACCCCCGAGAAGTGCCCAGGGTGTGTGGACCAATGTTCCCTCTAAGCTGTGGAGTCTTGTGAGCAAAAATTCTACTTTGTGAGCTACTGGCCTTAAAGTTTTGAGCAAGCGATTTGGCGACTGCATAAGTTAGTTTGCTCGGGAGCCCTCCTTCCTGAGCTAAGGCAAAAATGTGTGAGCCGGAGGCTAAAAAACTATGAGCTAGCTCACACTAACTCAGCTTAGAGGGAACACTGGTGTGGACCCTAAAACGAATGACGCCATTATGAAAAAGGAAGGCCCCCCCCCCCCCCCCCCGCAGTGTTCCCTCTAAGCTGAGTTAGTGTGAGCTAGCTCACCGTTTTTTAGCCTCTGGCTCACACATTATTGTCTTCGCTCAGGAAGGAGGGCTCCAGAGCAAACTAATTGATGCAGCAGCCAAATCATTCACTCACAACTTTAATGCCAGTAGCTCGCAAAGTAGAATTTTTGCTCACAACGCTCCACAGCTTAGAGGAAACATTGCCCCCCCCCCCGGGGGTCCTCGGGAGGCCTTCGTTTTTTCCGAAGGCTCCTAGAGGACGTGGGGGATGCCGAATGAGATTCCTACCAATAGTCACAGATGGGCCACCCCAGCAAGGTTGTGCGCGCGCGCGCGCGCAAGGGAAGTGAAGAGCGGGGGTGGTTTTCCCCTGCAGAGCCTTCTTGGGTGGTGGCCCCTCCGACGGCCAATCGGGACGCGTTCGTTCTTTCCGAGTGCTCCTAGAACTGGTGGCGGTGCCGAATGGCCCCCGACGACATATGGGCGAGCGCAACAAAGGGCTTTCCAGGCGAACGAGAAGCAGAGGTGGTTTTCCTCTGCAGAGCCTTCCTGGGTGGTTTCCCCTCGGCTCGACCGGGGTGGTTCCGTTGTCCTCCGAAGGCCGTGGCGATGCCGAATCGGCTCTACGGAGGGTCATCGTGACCCCAGCGGAGGGGCTTTCAAGGCAAGTGAGAAGCGGAGGGAGTTTGCCGTGGCCTTCCTCTGCAGAGCCTTTCTCGGTGGCCCCCCTTCCAAGTCCCGGCCCTGCTTAGCTTCGGAGATCGGGCTATATACCGCGTTGCCTTTCTCTCCGCAAACGGACCTAGCGATTGCGGTAACTGAAGCGAGGAAAGACGGTGCCGAGGAGCGAGCGCTGGCCTGGCCCCCCGCAGATCTTCTTGCTAGTTCTTTAGCGTTGGGAGGGCGTGAGGTCGGGGGGGTGGCACCCGTCGCGCCTCTGGGCATCCCGGAACAGCCCCCCCCCCTTCAATAGCTCCCTGCCGGCTTCTCTACTCCGTAGGGGTCCTCCGCTTCTTCAATGCACTTTACTCTTTTGGGGGTAAAAGAGGAAACGGTCTCAACACCCACGTGGACTCTTGCGCAAAGTGCAGAGGGGCGTCGGTTGCGCTTTGGCGCACAACTCCTCCATCTCCATTGTACCCCTAGCTTAGTTTAAAAAATTGTGTCTGTAAACCGCTCTGAGCCTCATGGATAGGGTGGTATATAAATCGCAAATGTAATGTAATGTAATCTCCTCCATCTTTCAGTCCGCATTTGCTTCCAGTGTGCCCTCCTCCAGGCCAATTCATGAGGTTCACAGGAGGCACACATTGAGTAGAGGCCCGATGGCCACAGGGATGCAGTGATCAGAGCAAGGGAAGCTCTCTGTGGGCATTTCTTTGCACACTCCCCGTGCCCAACAGCAGTGTTCCCTCTAAGCTGAGTTAGTGTGAGGCAGCTCGCAGTTTTTTTAGCCTCCAGCTCACACATTTTTGTCCTAGCTCAGGAAGGGACGGCTCCAGAGCCAACTAATTTGGGCAGTAGCCAAATCGCTTTTTCACAACTAATGGCAGTCGCTCACAAAGCAGGATTTTTTTGCTTACAGGACCCCACAGCTTAGAGGGAGCGTTGCCCGCTGGTCTAGAAGTTTCCACACCACCTGTCTTGTCATTTATTTACTTATTTATTTGCTGTCGCGTTGTAGGAGACTTGTGGCAACTTGGTAAGGGTTTTCAAGGCAAGAGGTGAACGGAGGCGCTTTGGCGTTGCCTGCCTTTGCGTAGCAGTCCTGGGCTTCCTCGGTGGCCTCCCATCCAAATACTAGCCAGGGCGGACTCTGCTTTGCTTCCAGGATCCAACAAGACCAGGCTAGCTTGGGCTATCCAGATCAGGGCAATGTTGTTCTGGGCGGAGAGGTTCCCCCCCCCCCCTTTGCGCTTGTCCAGAGATGCCAAGACGGCCTCGGTCGAGCCAGTAAACAGTCACGCGCCAGCAGCTGATGCCAGGAGGGGACTGGCAAATTAAAATGGCTCTGGAGCCAGCCAAGCGGAGGGGTCCCTGGACTTCGGCACTATTGACAGTGGGCATCAGCTCACCCATGTCCTTGCCCACAAACTGCTGGCAGCCGGGGAGGAGGCACCCAGGTGACGTGACCAATGCTCCCTCTGAACTGTGGAGTCTTGTGAGCAAAAATTCTACTTCGTGAGCGACTGGCGTTAAAGCTGTGAGCCAGCGATTTGGCTACTGCATACATTAGTTTGCTCGGGGGAGCTGTCCTTCCTGAGCAAAGGCAAAAATCTGCTCTGGAGGCTAACAAACTGTGAGCTAGCTCACAACGAACTCAGCTAAGAGAGAACACTGAACATGACGCTGATTATTCTTGCTCTTGAAGGATGTGAACCCGACGGGCCCCTGAGGCGCTGGCCAGAGTTGCCAGGGACTGGCTTTGCTTGCCCTCTAGGGCAGCGACCCTTCGGGAAAATTTCCCTGTAAATGAAATGGCCGATCCTCCCTGGCTGCTGCAGAAACTGAGTTCTGAGACCGGGGGAAGTGCCAAGTCAGCGTTCCCTGTGACTGACGGAAGGGGTGTGTGTGTGTGGTATTGTGCCAGACTGTATAATCTACCCTCTACTCCCTTCCTCCATCTTAATTGACATCACGAGTCATGTGCGGCTCGCAATTGAGATAACTGAGTGTGTCTCTGGGGTGTGCAAAATCACGGCAGAATTCCTCTGAGCACGTGCAGAGTTAATCTTCTGTAAGAACTGCAGCTAGCCCTTCTCTCTCCCGAGAAAAGTGTCAGTGACAAGGTGTGCATAAAGGCTTGAGTCAGTCAGCGACATCTTTCTGTTGCCGATACCCCCGCTTTGGCAGCCAGGCACTCAACAGATGAAGCGTCGCCCCAGCACGACACTATTGTAATAAAGACAGCTTCAACTGTTGACTTCCTACTGCCCTTAAAGATGCAGCAAGGAAATCCTATGGAGCACTGTTTAAATGCTGGTGTGATTCCTGGCATCAGGGTTCTTTGAGCTTCATTTAAGACAGGATTAAGCCCTGGTATCTCCTTGATCGGTCCGTTTCCTGTATCTGGATTCCATCCTGGACTATGTGGTATGATAACCTTGAGTTCTGGAACATGTGCAGAGTGTCTCTCTCTCGATATGTCAGAGTGGTTGGTCAGAGACACTACCTTGATTGATGGTTTGATTTTACCTTTAAAAAGTGGAAGAAATCATCTACTGGATACCAGTATTCCCTCTAAGCTGAGTTAGTGTGAGCTAGCTCACAGCTTTTCAGCCTCCGGCTCATACATTTTTGCCTTAGCTCAGGAAGGAGGGCTCCAGAGGACACCAATTTATGCAGGAGCCAAATTGCTCGCTCACAACTTTAATGCAAGTAGCTCACAAAGTAGAATTCTTGCTCACAGGACTCCACAGCTTAGAGGGAACCTTGCTGGATACTGTCTTTTTCTAGATTAGATCTGGATTTCATGCTATTACATTTCACGGCATGCTTCCTACATTTCATGGCCCCTTGTCTGTGCTGCTTATTTCTTTCTGCACCCCAACATGGAAGTGAGGGATGGATTCCCTTACAGGGTCTGAAAGAGTGGACTGTAAGCCCACACAGGTACCTCTGCTGGAAGGACATTTTGGTTTGCCTTTAAGGTACCACCAGTGCGGTGTACTGAACAGAGTAGCGGACTAGGAGTCTGGGCGGTCCGGGTTCAGATCCCCACAGCTACCATGGAAGCTCACTGGGGGGGCCTTGTTCCCATCCTGGCCTACCTCACAGGGCTGTCGCTGTGGGAAAAGGAAAGGCGGGAGCAAGGTTCTAAGCTGCTTTGAGCCCCCGCCTGTGGGGAGAGAAGGGTGCTGTTAATAAACAAAGGCAAGAATCCTGTTTGTTTTGGTATTCCAGTGGTGAGCATTTCTCATTTCTCCCTCGTTATGGGGCCCTTGGTTAGATACCACTGCAAACAGCGTTCTGGCTGAGATTCCAGCCCCGAAAGGTCAAAGAGTTTATGGTGCCAGCCGGCATCCTGGTCTCCTGTTTGCAGAAGGGTTCCGCTGGATGGGAAGGAGCAAAACAGGTGCATACCTCCCAGGGGGGCCGACAGGCGAAGGATGGGATCTGGAAATTCCTCTCCCCTCCGAGGGGGAGGGTGATTGCGTGCTGCTGAGTTGCCAGGGGAGAAGCGTTCCTGAAGGAGAGAGGCGAGTCATTGGGCTGAATTCAGCTCTGCTTTCTCATTCTGTCTCGGCCAGTTCTTCTCTTTACCCTGTGCGTGTCTCAAATGCCGTCAAGTTGCAGCCATCTTCTGGCGACCCCAGCCGAGGGGCTTGCGAGGCAAGTGAGAAGGAGAGGCGGTTGGCCGTTGCCATCCTCTGCAGTTTTCCTTGCTGGTCTCCCTGCTCAGCTTCCGAGATTTGACGAGATTGGGCTAGACCAGGGGTGTCAAAATCATTTGTTATGAGGGCCGGATCTGACAAACTGGAGAGGCAGTTTGGTGTAGTGGTTAAGTGTGCGGACTCTAATCTGGGAGGAACTGGGTTTGATTCCCCACTCCTCCACTTGCACCTGCTGATGTGACCTTGGGTCAGTCACAAGCTCTGGCACAGCTGTCCTTGAAAAAGAGCAGTTTGTGTCAGAGTTCTCT